TGATAGCAAACTGTTAGCTACTGGAAACAGTATGTGGTTGTAGGTTTGTTACTTAGCTTTGGGCAAGGCCTTTAACTTTTTATTTTCCATCTGAACTCATCCTATTTTCCTCTCTGCTCCCTTCCAGTTCTGACGTTCTCAAATTGTTAAGTTTGTCTCTGAACGTTGAGGCAGTGAAAATGAAGCAATGCTGCCCAAGCCCGTTATCCTGGCTACTCACCCTGAGCCCCATCAGGTAGTAGAGGACACTGATGAGCGTCATGGGGAGGACGTAGAAGAGGAAGGAGGTGACCTGGATGAAGACGTTGTAGATCCACGTGGGCTTGATGACTGTACAGGTGGCAGAGCCAGGAACCCAGGTCTCACTGGGGATGTGGGGGACCCTAATGCCATAGATGATGGTGCTGAGCACGGAGAAGATGAGGGAGAAGCCCCAGATAAGGCCAAGGATGCTGCGTGCCCTCCGGCAGGTGCTTTTCTGTTGGGCGCGAAAGGGGTAGAGGATGCCCAGGTAGCGCTCCACGCTGACCGCAGTGATGCTGAGGACCGAGGCGGAACACACAGTCTCAAAGAGAGCTGTTTTGAAGTAGCAGCCTGGGTGCCGGAGCAGGAAGGGAGAGTAGCTCCACATCTCGTAGACTTCCAGGGGCAGTCCCAGGAGCAGGACCAGGAGGTCACAGACAGCCAAGCTGAACAGGTAGTAGTTTTTGGGTGTCTTCATGGCCTGGTCCCGAAGAATCAGCAGGCACACAAGAAGATTGCCCACCACTCCCACCACAAAAACCAGTACATACACCAATGCGAGAGGGAGAAAGAAGTGGCTGTACCAAGGCCCGCAGAGGCAGCCCTCGGAACTGTTGAATGAGGCATTTTCAAGTTTTCCCATCACTGACAGTAAAATCAAAGATCCCAGCGTTCCCTAGTGTGAGGCTCAGTCCAAAGCAGAGCCAGATAGGAGAGAGAACGCAATCTAGAGCGCACAGACTTGGTGAAGGAGGCTGGGAGAGAGGAGCCCTGTGGTCTCCAGCTGGGGCTGCTCAGGCTGCAGAGCTCTGTGCAAGAGCCCTGGAGACAGAGCCCCGCCCACCCAGCACAGGCTGCTGGCTGCAGAGCTCCTGGAAAATGCTGGACTACAGGATGTGCTGGTTTCCTGCGCTGGGAGCAGGGAGGAGGGAGATAGCTTTTTGTGAATGGGAAACAGCTGGGAATGGAGCGCACACAGTCTATGACTCTGGAACAAATAAGCAGTGGGCAGTTCCAGCAAAGCAGTTTACCAAGTTTTGGGAAATACTGATGAGTGTCATGGGAAAGATGTGATTTGGGTGGAAATCAAATGCAAGTTGTGCAGTGATGAGTAGCACAGTACAAATCACCCGTGATCCTTGTCACCTGTGAAACATGACAAAATGGAGCACCCATAAGTTTGTCAAATTATCTTTTCCCTTGCAGATTCAGGGCTCTCCAGAAAACATGATCAATGTGACATACAGATATAGAAATAGAGGAAAATAAGGAAATATCTTCAAACTCCCAGTCTTATTTCCTTATTTGCATCACTAATTTTATTTTGTTCAACAAATAACTCTTGAGAATTCACTGTGTGCCAAGCTACATTTTGAGCTTTGTGAAAACATCAGTGAACAGGAAATGCAAGATCTCTACCCTGCTGATACATTAGGGAATTCTGAAAATACAAGTGAATTAATAAGCGAATACGATTTCAGATATTAACTGACAATTATTTATCAAGGAAAAACAAGTTTAGTGCAATATCACACTTTGGGCTGAGGTCAAAAGGATGAAAAATGAATCAATTTGAAATTGGGTATTATAGTAACTCCAGCATTGCTCTTTGTGCTCAGGATTGCTTGGTCTATTCTGGGTCTTTTCCATATAAAATTTAGGACTTTTTTCTTTAGTTCTGTGAAGAATGTCATTGGTAGTTTGATCCAAATAACATCAAATCTGTACGCGACTTTTTTTGTGTGTGTGTGGTGCTAGGGATTAGAACCCAGGGCCTTGTGCATATGGGGCAAGCACTCTACTAACTGAGCTATATCCCCAGCCTCCCGTGGGTCACTTCTTAAAGAGGACATTTTAGTATTAATTCTGGATTGTCTATAAACATGCAAATTCTTTTCATACTAAGTGTCTACATCTGTTTCTTTTCTCAGCATTCTGTAATTTCCTTGTACAGATATTTTACATTAGATAGACACATTCCTAGGATTTTTTTTAAGCTATTGTGAATGGAATTATTTTCCTAATTTCTTAGTGGATTCATTGTTGGTATATAGAAAAGTGATTCTTGTGTGTTGTTTGTTTCTACTCATGCTGATTAGTTCATTTATCAGATCTATATTCTTCCAGGGGAATCTCTAGTCTTCCAAGTACAAGATCATATCACCTACAAATAGGCTTCCTTTGATTTCTTCCATTCTTATTTATATCCCTTTAATTTTATTCTCTTGACTAAATACTTTGCTAAAAAGCAAGTACTATACCAGGCATGGTGACTCATGCCTATAATCCCAGCAGTACAGGAGGCAGGAGGATCACAAATTCTAGGCCAGCCTCAGCAACTTAGCAATGCTTGGAGCAATTTAGAGAGATTCTGTCTCAAAATAAAAAATAAAAAGTGCTGAGGATGTTGCTTAGGGGTTAAGCCCTAGGGGTTAAATTCCCATTTCAGGGGGAAAAAGAAAGAAATTCAAGCACTATATTGGAATGGTAAAAGTGAACATCCTTCTCCTGTTAGAGAACATGATTTTAGTTTTTCCCAAATTATACTACAGAGCTATAGTAACCAAGACAGAATGGTCCTGGCATAAAAACAGGCACAAATGTCAGAGGAACAGAATACAAGATGTAATGATGAACCCTCACAGTTACAGTCACCTGATTCTGTGATGAATGTGCCAAAAACACACATTGGAGAAAAGGTAATCTCTGTAAAAAAGGTACCGGGGAAACTGGATCACCATATGTAGAGGAATGAAACTAGACTCCCATCTCTCAGCCTGTACAAAAGTCTACTCTAAATGCATCAAAGACTCGGGTATAGGACCCGAGAGTGTGCAACTTGGAGAAGACGACATAGAGGAAACACTCCAACGTACAAGTCGAGGCAACAGCTTCCTGAATAGGAATCCTATATCTCAGGAAGTAAGAATCAATAAATGGAATTCTATCAAATTAAAAAACTTTTCCATAGCAAAGGAAACAGCAGTGTGAAGAACAGGCTACAAAAATAAGAGAAAATCTTTCCAACTACTCTACTAAGAGAGAAGTTATAGTCCAATTGTGTAGAAAAACTCAACATCAAATAAACAAATGACCCATTCACAAAATGGGCACATGAACTAGACAGAAGCTTCTCCAAAAAAAGTGCAAATGGCCAACAAATATATAAATATTTTTATAATATTTAAACATCTTTAGCTTTCAGGGAATGCAGATCAAAAACCACCTTGAAATTCTGTCTCTCTCTAGTTCAAATGACAATCATTAAGAATACAACAATAAATATTGGACAGGATGTGGGGGAAAGGAACTTTAAAACACTGTTAGATGGAATGTGCAATCACTATGGAAATCAGTTTGGATATTTCTCACAAAACAAAACTGGCAATATCATGTAATTCAGCTATACCAATCCTTGATATTTATCCAAAATAATAAAAGTTAGCATGGTTTGGAAACGCATGCATGCCCATGTGTATAGCAACATAATTCACCAAAGCCAAGTAATCAGCCTAAGTGTTCATCAACAAATGAATGAATAAATGTTTGATATTCATACACAGAGACTTTTATTCAGTCCTGAAAGACAAGATTGTAATTTGCATAAAAATATATAAAACCAGAAATCATGTTAAACAAAGAAAGCCAGACTCAAAGACAAGTGTGGCATTTTTTTTTTTTATCATACATGGACGTTAGGGACTGAAACTCATTAAATTATAAATATACCCCAATGATACACCACTGTTTTGTGTAACTAATATGCACCAATTAAAAAGTCAACCATAAAACCTAAAGTAGTATATTCCTAGTAAAAGGAATAACAAGTGCAAAGGACCTGAGGCAGAAAGGAGCCATGTATCAGATATACCAAGAAAACCTGGATAACTAGAACTTCATGACTGGTCAGGAGATTCTGAATGATTAGACTGAAGGGATTGGCAGAGGTCAGATCATGTACTTTCATATACCATGATAAAGAGCTTGAATATAATTTAAACTAGAGGGAATTTGGATCTGATTCAAGCTGCAGGAAGAATTTCTTGGAAGTTTAGAGCATAATTAAGGAAGGTGAGACCAATAAGAGATGGTAGTGGCTTAGATTATTATGCTAGCTATGAAGTTGAGAGAGATCTTTGGATTCAGGGATATTTTAGCAAGGAAAAATACCTTGCCTGATTAGTAAGAATAAATCAGCATATTAAAGTGCCTCATATTCAAGAGATGCTTACTGAATGTTCTTTTTTCCCCTTTTATTTGCTAAGTGAGGTGATGAAACCTAAAGACCAAAGAGCTAAAATGACTTATCTAAGTATAATATGTGAAAATGAGATGGTTGACACTACAGTAATAATTTTCTCCCTATCTCAGTGAGTTAAAATGAGACTTGTTTTTCACTCACACTGCAAATCAATCACGTGTCAGCTGGGGGGCATCCATGCTGGATTTCACTCACTCAGAGCCCAGGCTGCTTAAGTGGTCACTTGCTGATTCTTGCTACAGAGGGAAAGCATCTTAGAGGCCTCAGGCAATTACATGCTTCAAACCAAAAGATAGGAACACATGCAGGTTTTGCTTATTCTACAGACTGAGGCTGGTCATATGTATCAACTCAACAACAACAGGGGCAGGAGGTGCTGTCCTATCATGTGCACAGAAATCAGAGAGAGGGCCAGATGTAGTGGTGCATGCCTCTAACCCTAGCAACTGGGGAGGCTGAGGCAGGAGGATCTAAGACCAGCATCAGTAACTTAGGGAAATCCTATCTCTCAAAATAATAAAAAAAAGGCTGAGGATATAGCACAGTGGTTAAGCATCCTGGATTCAATCCCTGATTTAAAAAGGAAAGGAAGAAGAAAAAGAAAAGAAATCAGAGATAAGAAAATCTGTTGAATAGCAGTAAGTGACTGCAGACATAGAGCAGCCACTGCAGACCCAGACCTGAAGCCCTCACGCAAATAAGTTTGATGCTGAAATCACTACTAACAACCTTGAATGCATTTCAACAACAGGGGAAAAGTTCAATTTTACAGATGTTTATAGCTCAATGAGATTTTGCATCTCAATTTTTTTCCAAATTATATGAGATGTTAATTTTGTTTATACCTCCTGGTCCAATCTGTTAGTGTGAATATTTTAAAGGGCAAAAACTGTGTCATATCTGCCTTTTACATTGAAATGACCTTGAGTTTTCAATTTTTTTTATTGTACACAATTGCAGTACAACTTTTCATTTCTCTGGTTGTACACAATGTAGTGTCACACCATATATGCAGTCATACATGTACCTAGGTTAATGATGTCTATCCATCTCATTCCACCAGTTTTCCTGCCCACATACCCCCTCTCCTCCATCCCCTTTGCCCTATCAAAGCTCCTCCATTTTCCCCATGCCCCCCTGCCCCATTATGGATAAGCATCCACTTATAAGAGAGAACTTTTGGCCTTTGGTTTCTTGGAATTGGCTTACTTCGCTTGGCATGATAGTCTTCAACTCCATCCATTTACCTACAAATGCCATAATTTTATTCTCTTTTAATGCTGAGTAATATTCCATTGTGTATATATACACCACAGTTTCTTTATTCATTCATCTATTGATGGACATGTAGGCTGGTTCCATAGTTTATTTATTGTGAATTGAGCTGCTACAAACATTGACATGACTGTGTCCCTATAGTATGCTGATATTAAGTCCTTTGGGTATAGACTGAGGAGAGGGATAGCTGGGTCAAATGGTGGTTCCATCCAAGTTTTCCAAGAAATCTCCAAACTGCTTTCCCTACTGGTTGTACCAATTTGCCATCACACCAGCTATGTATGACTGTGCCTTTTCCCCCACATCCTTGCCAACATTTATTGTTGTTTGTATTCTCAATGACTGCCATTCTGACCTGACATGAAATGAAATCTTAGTTTTGATTTGCATTTCAATTACTAGAGATGTTGAATATTTTTTTCAGATATTTGTTGTCTGATTGTATGTCTTCTGAAAAGTGTCTGTTCAGCACTTTGGCCCATTTGTTGATTGAGTTGTTTGGGTTTTTTTTTTTTTTTGGTGTTTTTTGACTTCTTTATGTACCTTGGATATAGTGTTCTATCTGATGTTCTTGTGGCAAAAATTTGCTCCCAAAATGTAGGCTCTCTCTTTACCTCATTGACTGTTTCTTTTGCTGAGAAGAAGCTTTTTAGTTTGAATCCATCCCATTTATTAATTCTTGATTTTATTTCTTGCACTTTAGGAGTATAGTTAAGGAGGTTGGGGCCTAATCCAACTCGATGAAGAATTGGGCCTACTTTTTCCTCTATCAGGTGCAGGGTCTCTGGTTTAATTCCTAGGTCCTTGATCCACTTGGAGTTGAGTTTTGTGCATGGTGAGATACAGGCATTTAGTTTCATTTAGGTGCATTTGGAGTTCCATCTTCAATGT